AAATCTGCTAAAAGTAAAAGACCCTTTTGCTCGTTTCTATTAAGATAGTCCATAACGTCATACACAAGTCTTGTATTTTCAGCCATCTCTCGACCCGTTAAATATGCTTTCTGTTCCACGGAAATTATATGTGGCAAAACTGATTTCATCCTTGTTGCTAAAGCTGATGAGAGAAGTTTATAGTCCGCATTCAATAAAGATATCGGTCGCCAGTTCTTAAAGTATTTTCTAATTTTGTTTAATTTTGGTAAACAAGTAATAACGCCTTGCTTCTGTGTGATTGATAGTTCACCTAAAGTATAAGCCGCGTTTAGAGATTTGAGTAGGTACTTACCAATATCCCTATAGAAGATATATTTATAAAAGTCTACAGAAAAGCCGTCTGATCCAGGGGATTTACCATTTTTGCATTTTTTAATTCAAAGATTAATTCTTTTTCCGTTAAAATACCCTCACAAGACTGTTTTTGTTCTTCGTTTAGTGATTTGATATTATTATCAATAAGGAAAAGGTCTATATTTTCATCAGCACAATTTACTAAGGTAACAAAAACTTTTTTTAATTTTTTTCGCTGTCAATCTTTTCTAAATATGCTAAACTTTCATAAAAAACTATGTTGATTGTCGAACCAGGTTAAAAGGAAGAATAAATTATGTTTTAGATATCATTGTACCATTGGTTTCTATGAGAACTAAAATTTTGAAATGCATTTTTCTCAGAACCATTTGCATGCACTGATAAGTTCATTTCTTGCTTATTTATGAACCTATTTTCTTAATTTTTTCGGCAAAAAACATGGGAGGATGAACGCTATGCATTGGTATGAATTGTGGCTAATTAGAAGATATTAGTGACCTCTAAAAGTTGGTTTTAAATAAATTGACAAATTTTGGAACAAAAAGTCTATCAAAAACCACTTTTTGAAATTTAAAAAAAAAGTTTCACATATCACACTTTGATAACATTGGGTAAGACTACAATATAAGCCAAAGTGGTTTAAACTTTATATGGGGCCTTTAAACATTTTATTCTGAAAATCCAATACTTGGAGGCGTAATTGAACAAGGTCTACAACAATACCGTCATTACTGAAATCAGACAAGCCGTTTTCAATCGCCATGAGGACCGTGCGACTTTGTGTCATAAAGAAAGGTTGCAGACATGAGGGTTCAACCTCATATGAAACACCAGTGAAAATATGTGCACATATAAATAAAATTCAATAATTATTTTCTAATTTAAGTATGTAGAATGATATCATCAATTAAAAAAAAAGTTAAGCCCAAGACTCAACTCATTGTTTGCTGAACCATACCATGAAGGTGTTGTTTACAAACCTTTGCATGACCGCGCATCGGGAATGCAAAGTTTAGGAAACAACGCCTGAGTGGTATGAAGCAGCTACAATGCATTGAGTCTTGGACTTAACTTCTTTTAACACATTGCATTTTTTTCTATAAAATCATCTTAAAGGAACGAAATCACTAACACCCCAGTCACATTTCTTACGGCGACCGTGCGGTCTATCATCTCTTCGGTCAGATACATTTCTGCTCTCGCCGTAGAATTTCTGCGGTCGGATACTTTTGCAGTCACATTTCCTACGGCAGCCGCACGGTGATTTTTGCATTTTTGTTGAATAATGTTAATTTTTCTTTTTATTTAATCGACATCAGTACAAAATGTAGTTTGTAGTGCTAGGATATAGTATCGAATAAAACGTACAAGTGAAATATAAGTTGCTGTGGTATCAGTGACCTTACATCAAACAGTATGTATTGTGTTGTGTTTACAGCAAATAAGACCGAAAACAAATCAAATCCCGAATGGGAAAAGCTGACCACTGTTTGACTAGCGACCTTGCATGTGTTATTGATATTTCACACACTGTACATTATGTGAATACTCTGTTGGGATTGGCTGGAATCGACACACCTTGCCTAGCTATGTGTGGATACAGTTTTAAAGATGAATGATTCATATAATATATCTTAAACCACGTCATGCATTATACATTATTTTAAAGATAAATCATTCCTTATTATATGACAGCATCCGATTGAAAACCTTTGTTTTTTGTAAAGTTAGAAGCTAAAATTGACATCAGGGGAGTCGTGAGTGACCAAAATGAAAAAAATGAAAATTCCCTTCACACTGCAGTCACAGTATGCTTGCCTGAATCATTATTAATTTATTTAATAGTAAAACACAATCATTCCTTATTAATAATTAAAACGGTAAAAGTATTATTGGTGATTTTTGCACTAAACTTGTCTGAATGGACCTCTTTTGAATCCCTCCATTTTCCACAATTTGAAAATCCGCAGTGGATAATTTTTTAGTCGTAGCCTCTAACTCCGCAAGTAAACAATGGGTTTTCTATCGAGTGATGTCAACGTGTTAGCAAATGATTTATCTATAAACTGATATATGATACATTTAACCATTCTGATACTCATGGCATCTTTCTGTTTCACCTTAAGGGATCCAACACCTTACAAAACTTCTTAACGGAGAGGAATAAGGGAAAATGCTTGCCGGATTCTGAATCGGTGTATTTTTTAATGATTTTTCACCGTCTTAGAATTTCAATTTTTTTCCTTTGAAAAAATGAGATTTGTATTGTTTTCCAATTAGGAAAATGAGTAAACATGAAGAGCTCGAAATCTAACGGTGAGATTTTGTTTTAAAAAATCATGGATATCAAGGCTAAATATAGCTATACAGTAAACATAAAAAAGCAATGCTTGGACTCTTCATATTCACACAAAAAATTAATTAGTAAATGAGGTTTGATATTTGTGAGAATAAGTTGTACGAGGTACAATGCTCTACAAACACCAGACTACAGGGTGGATTAGGATCAATGACACACATAAAAATTAATTTAAAAATATTTCATGATAATTATCTGAAACAAAAGCAGTTGGCGAAGGATACGTTTCATTACACTCAATAAATAGTTATCACTTTTGACTATATAATACATATCTCATGGGAATGTATTTCCATCTGCTCAAGATATTCTTTTTAGCTTCGAAAATCACAATCGTTGGATAATACATTTGTCTCAGAATGATAGGCCACCCTGTAGCAATGTAGCTTTCACTTGAAGTGTACCCTTGAGAATAATGAACTTACTTTCAAATTGGTCTTGCTTTTGTGGTGTATGTGGCTTTTTAGCAAATCTGCCACGCTCATTTCTTTCCAGAAACATCATCTTGTTCAAATGTATCACTATACGCGCATGTATAGACAGATGACATAGATATACATAATTATAAATTATATATTGCACCTGTATTTACTTACATGGGAATATATTCCCTTTGGAAAAATGCAAATGCTCGAACATATATTTTCATCTTATATATGACTTCAAGCTAACATATTATTTCATATTTATATTTTCATAGTTAGTTTAACATGAATAATAGATCCATGAGAAAAATATTCTTTTTTTTAAATTGATGGGTTTACTGTGAATTCAATAAATTACAAATTGCAAAGGGTAAGTATACTGTATTAGCTAGCTAGTTTTATGTTAGGCCAGGGTAATTAAATTAGTTGTTTCTCTTTCTTCTATTTTTCAAAATTGATACGGGAATGACGGTTTTTATATTACCTTTTTTGTTTATCTAAAATGCTGATGAGGGACGGGATGATTTTTTTCTTTAAGATAACCGTAAAAACAAATAACTAATTTTGAAGGAAATAAACTGAGTTTATGTTGAATTTATATGTTGATATTAGCCTACTTTACTGGTATATTTGATCATATATCAGTACCACGATATTGTCAATTATCCTGATCCATAAAAAGTAAAAAAAAGTGTTTCACACGCCATGGATGCGCGCGAGGTACGGTGTTTTTTCTCAGAAATGGCAGAAAAAAGGTGGAGGGGGGATTGGGCCACACGCGGGCAAGAATGAGAAACAACTAATTTAATTACCCTAACCTTAGTTCATCCAGTAGTACGTTTTTACTGCAAAGTAGTGTTTTTATATGCAGCTTAATAGCATAGAATATGTTTAATGAAGCATATGGTGTGGATTAGTCGTGTGACACACAAACTGACCAATACATGAGGGTATTAGCTACTTTTCACATAAACCAAAGGAGGACAGTGCTTTTATTTCAACTGGGAGCTTACCTCCACACGACTGATCATGTGACCATGGTGGTGGTCCCCTTTAAACATGCTCTGATATTATGAGGCATATTCTGTGATCTGAGCACATCAGATAGGAAGAGTAGTTGTAACTGTCAATAAATTGTGTTAGGTAGCATTAACTTAATGTCAATACATTACATAAATGTATTTAACAGCAGATATTAGATCAGGCACAGGTGCACAAGTGTTATGACCCTAATTAGATGAAATATGATCTTCGATAAAATATCTCAAATATCCTCAATTTAGGCTCTCCAGGTTCGCCAAATCCTAGCTCATTATATCATGACGTCGATGGGCTGAGAAGAAATGAGATGTCATGGTTTATCATGATGTGATTTAATATATATAATATGATAGTCATTTTTAAACGAGGGTATTATTTCTTTGGCCCACCCTGTATATATGTATTACACCACACCATTAAAATGTGATAGTTTTGGCCAGCGACGTAATGTGTTTATAATACATACATTCATTTTGAAATTGTGTTTGTAAATAAAATTACAATTCATGTATAGTTCCTCGCCTCTGTTACATTGACAAAACTCTTATTTAATCTTAAATATCATCAATTTTACTTCGACGTCGACGTCAATGTAACAAAAGTGATAAACTAAATGTATGAATTACGGCTTCATATAAAAATCCTTTCCAAAGTGAAGCCTTCTTTTAAAGCTAGACTTCGTTGTCTTAAATGCCAATCTGCGAATTGTCTTCTTATAAGTGTAGCAGGTTTAAATCGAGAAAACAAAAAACTCGTATCGAGGAAGTTCATCCATTTTGTTACAGTGACGTTTTGTCAAAGTATCTAAATGTGGAACAATGATACGTATGTATTTTATTCCAGGAATCTGTCCCATTCAGAAGATCCCTATTAAAACCACAGGTTCGCCATGGCCAGAAGGCAATGGGTGGGAGTTTGCTTACAAATTAAACAATTACAACGTAGACGAAGATTACCAATATTCCGTTGTATCTTTTGGCGAAGTGACCGAATCTGTTAAGGTACTAATATTATTGTTTTTTCAAATATACAGTTTAGGTCACATATGATCGGGCATATCATAATGCCCTGGGGGGTTCACCTTATATACATGACCTACGTGAATTATGAACAAACGTGCTGTGCAACCAAATGTGACTCATATTATACTGACCAGTCGCAGGCCTCCTAGACTTCCAATCTTGTAATTGTACAGAGGAAAGTTTGGTTGATTTTAAAAAAGTATCTTGTTAATAAAATATTTATCGTGATTTTTTTATCTATTTTGGGGGGTTTTGTTCTAAGTTTGTGCATTTATTTTGTAAAATCAACCAACATTTCCATTGTATAACTGTAATATTGAGAAAATGTTGTATGCTATTTTGTTCCAACATGGTTCGGAAAGACATTTTATTTCATTCTCAAGAATTGGTAGAAAGGAACAAAAATAATTGAACTAAAAAAAACAAAATGTTTTCAATAATTGGTTTAAGAGAAAAACATTGTTGAATTCAGTTTACCATATCGATACCTATGAGGGTTGCAGCAAAATTCCGAACATGCACCCGGACATTGAATGTTCTACAATGCACTTTACCTGTGGATTTCAATAACTCATTACTTTTTTATTTTAGTGGATTAGTGAGCTAGAAGTCACCAGGTGCAATGAGGGCAGAGATTATGTTGTAACGTACAAATTCTATCCAGAATACTACAAGGCTGGCACTGATCTAGACATTGAGGTCCATCCAGTTACCCTACTTGAGAGCACTGCTAACAACTTGAACATCACTCAGACATTTTTATGTCCCCCTTATCAGAGCTATCTAAATCTCGAAGTTTGTGCCGATGTCAGTAAGTCATAATTTGTATTGACACAATGAATTGGAATATAATATCATCATATAGACATACACTCTACATATACTGCAGAGAACATATTAAATATACTGATCTTTATCATTATTTCGGCCCCTCTAAGAGATTTTACAATTGTGTATGATTGATATACTATTACTTATTTCTCAATATTTCTCATTTGCTTCCGTGATTTTTTACTAAATGCATTTTTCCCTTGGAATATTTCTAATAAGTGAGTCCCCGATAAGTTTCACATAACATTTTCGCCACCGAGCCTCTGGATTGGTTGAACCTAACATTTAGAATTGTAATAGATAAACTGATGCTTTTCTTAATGCTAATGAAACTGCCGATCAAAAATATTTACAAACAAATCCTCATACTTTGAGCCACTGAATTGGAGCATAATGGTAACATTGGAGTTGTTTCACCTATTCCTACGATTTGGAATACTCCGATAAGGTTCAACTTATTGAACACGTCAAAAACATGTTAAAAACTGAAAACTGTAATGTACTCAGATGAAAATAATGTGGTAAAAGGATACAATACAATAACTTATAACTGATACTTGCTCATAACTTCAATACTCTTATTTCAGACATTTTTCTGGCTTCTCAAATGTCACATGGCAATATTACCACCACACTGTCTATCACAGACACCGTACCTGCCTCTACAGAGTTCGCGTTTACTGTTAATCAAACAGAGTCACCACCACTAAATGCCACCACAATCGGAATAATAACAAGTCATGATTACAATATTACAGATTTTTCTCAAATATCCGCAATTTCAAATCAGAATGTATCTTTGGCCACGACAACGGAGGGAGCTTCGAGCGAAATACAAACAACAGTCATTGATACAATTATTTCAGAAACAATATTGAATAATTCAACGCACGACACGACATCCAGTGATCCTGCGACCCTAGCTTCTGACACAACGTCCAGTGATCCTACATCTTCTGAAACCACATCCAGTGATCCTACATCTTCGGAAACAACATACACTGGTCCCATATCTCTTGAAACAACTTCCAGTGATCCGGCATCTCTTGGAACATCTTCAACTGAACCACCGACTCCCGAATATCTTTTCAATGATTCGATCCCAACAGACACAACAATCAATTTAACCTCGAAATTCCCCGACAATGCCATCATATTTTTTAACAATGCTGATGTGAAGCTAGAAGCAACAACTAGTATTAAAGCTGAATCATTTGACAAACTTCCAGATGAGGCACCTGGAGCTACAGCGATAGGATCTATCTGGATGATCATTCTGGTGGGATTTGTGATGCTAATCGTTTTAGCAGATATGAGAAACCTCGTTAGAGATATCAAAAAACGATGCCTCGCAAATTGCAAGTCATTTTTACTGCGTTAAAATGATATAAAGATGGAACCACAGATTTCTGCATTTGATAAGTACAATATTGTATATTGGTTTGAACTGAAATTATTGGAGATCAGCAAAAAGAGTGTTACCGATTTTTTCTTTTGAACAAATTTGGTTATATGGTACTGTGAATTCAATCTTCCAGATACGGTAACACGCAATTTTGGTCCACCCGTTTAGCTCAGCTGTAGCGCATGTATTTCTCATACCCTTTGCATTCGTTTGATTTCACTTCTTAAAGAGAGCTTCTTCTTCATAGTTTAACTAGACTCTGCACGCAGGGTATATTTCTCACGCAATAGGTCCAGGATTCGATCCCCGGTTCAGGCAAGACTTAATTTGCTTATTTGCGTAAAATACTCCAGGGTGATTAATTGAGTGGTCCACTACTCGTACTTGTATTTTTTATGTATATTAGTGCACATAAAAGAACACAGTGTTCATTCAAAGAGGGGTTTCTGGGTCTATCTTCAAGGTTAATTACGTAAATTACGGGGTATACCCAAGAGGTATTGCTCACCTTAATTGGTGGTAAACAAAATACAATACTGAGCTATTATGTCCCTATTAGCTTCGGCCTGTCATGAGATAGCCCTCGCAAGCTCGGACTATATTGATGACAGGCCTCGGGAATATATGCAATGGTACGGACATAATTGTTGTATTACATACCTTTATTTCATGGCTACGTTATGTTAATGACGCCACGTGTATGTGCGATAGAAATTATGAAGAAATGAAACATGACGTCGTAAGATTGTCATGGTAAAAAGTTTGGCGGCCATACAGGAATATATAGCGGAACTTCAGTTTCATTGACTTCAATACAAATGTGTCGCTAGGTATGTTACAATACAGTACTCACCAAATTAGATACGGCACGCAAATTAGATATGGCACGCAAATTAGATATGACACGCAACAACCAAAAGTCATCATTCATGATTAATTGTGTAATTTAAAATGCAACCCTTATACTAATTGTCCAAGTAATTTATAGAAAATGTACTCAATGATTCGATCCCAACAGACACAACAATCAATTTAACCTCGAAATTCCCCGACAATGCCATCATATTTTTTAACAATGTTGATGTGAAGCTAGAAGCAACAACTAGTATTAAAGCTGAATCATTTGACAATCTTCCAGATGAGGCACCTGGAGCTACAGCGATAGGATCTATCTGGATGATCATTCTGGTGGGATTTGTGATGCTAATCGTTTTAGCAGATATGAGAAACCTCGTTAGAGATATCAAAAAACGATGCCTCGCAAATTGCAAGTCATTTTTACTGCGTTAAAATGATATAAAGATGGAACCACAGATTTCTGCATTTGATAAGTACAATATTGTATATTGGTTTGAACTGAAATTATTGAAGATCAGCAAAAAGAGTGTTACCGATTTTTTCTTTTGAACAAATTTGGTTATATGGTACTGTGAATTCAATCTTCCAGATACGGTAACACGCAATTTTGGTCCACCCGTTTAGCTCAGCTGTAGCGCATGTATTTCTCATACCCTTTGCATTCGTTTGATTTCACTTCTTAAAGAGAGCTTCGTCTTCATAGTTTAACTAGACTCTGCACGCAGGGTATATTTCTCACGCAATAGGTCCAGGATTCGATCCCCGGTTCAGGCAAGACTTAATTTGCTTATTTGCGTAAAATACTCCAGGGTGATTAACTGAGTGGTCCACTACTCGTACTTGTATTTTTTATGTATATTAGTGCACATAAAAGAACACAGTGTTCATTCAAAGAGGGGTTTCTGGGTCTATCTTCAAGGTTAATTACGTAAATTACGGGGTATACCCAAGAGGTATTGCTCACCTTAATTGGTGGTAAACAAAATACAATACTTAGCTATTATGTCCCTATTAGCTTCGGCCTGTCATGAGATAGCCCTCGCAAGCTCGGACTATATTGATGACAGGCCTCGGGAATATATGCAATGGTACGGACATAATTGTTGTATTACATACCTTTATTTCATGGCTACGTTATGTTAATGACGCCACGTGTATGTGCGATAGAAATTATGAAGAAATGAAACATGACGTCGTAAGATTGTCATGGTAAAAAGTTTGGCGGCCATACAGGAATATATAGCGGAACTTCAGTTTCATTGACTTCAATACAAATGTGTCGCTAGGTATGTTACAATACAGTACTCACCAAATTAGATACGGCACGCAAATTAGATATGGCACGCAAATTAGATATGACACGCAACAACCAAAAGTCATCATTCATGATTAATTGTGTAATTTAAAATGCAACCCTTATACTAATTGTCCAAGTAATTGATAGAAAATGTACTATCTATAATTTTGGTAAAATCTGAACACTAGCATTTTTATCTTAATATGCAATAGAGGAGTTTCTAGATATACATGTAGCTTTAAAATCTTATTTAAGTAAATATTCTAAGCCAAAATCAGGATTAATGATGTAAATCCAGTTTTTATTTAGAGAATCTAGTTCCTGTTATCATTGTGAAAAAACATGGCCTCCAAAAAAGGAGTGATATCGTATATGAGAACTTCTTGAACACACGTTTCTCTTAAACCAGTCATTAAAAATCTAGAAATTTAACACATCGTCAATTTAATACTAGGCATCTTTTGAATGGTAACAATATAATTTGAAAATATACTAAATACTTTCATCTACAGGGTGGTCCAAAAAAAGTGAACCCCTGCAACTGGCCATATTTCCCTTATTACTCGCAGGAATTCTTTTATATTTTCACATGTTGTAGAGGAAGGTCTAAAATTTATGTTGGTACCATTCATTTTTCTTAGTCATGAAATTTGCAGAAATTATAAGCCTTAACCAAACATTACTAAAAATGGACAAATTGTGATTTTCAATATCCGCGATTCTTCAACTCTTTAACACCTTTCCCCTGAGAATTTTTTAAGCTGCAGTCTTAAAGAACTAATCTTTTCTGACTTTGTTCAATTTTAAATCCTGCACATTATGGCTTAAAACTAGCATCCTACATTTGTTAGTTGCAAAGTTATTGTGATCCAAAGAGATGTGCTAAGCTTCCACAGATGAAAACATTTTCCAGTGAAATCATGAACATACCTCTATATGATCTTGAAATGTCAATATCTTCATAAGTCATGGACCAATTCTAATGATATATGCCTCAAAACATTGAATATTGGATTTTCTTTTGATTTTTTAAAGATATTTGATGAAGGGGTTATCAGATTCCTGGTCACAGGGGGAAACGTCCTTCCATAAGAGGCTTTCCTCTAACTGTTGGTGTAGGTAACATACCCCTGAACCGTTGAACAGTTAAAAATACTTCAAAATGATCAATGAAAGTGTGAAATGTGTTTTCTGCTTGAATAGTGTCCCTTTTGTCATATGGTAGGGTTTTAAACTTGTATCTCTAACTGAAAGCTGTTTAAGATCATCCAATGTGTTTCAACAATTTCCGTGAATCACATTTGTTAAAATTTTGTACAATATCTAATTTCCAGGCATGTTTGTTAAACGCTTGTAATTTCTTCAAAATTTAAGGCTGAGAATAAATTATGGCATCAACCAAAGTTTTAGACCTTTCTCTACAACATGTGATAATATGAGCCAATTCATGCATGTATTATGAAAAATGTAGCCTGTTGCAGGGGTTCACTTTTTTGGACCACCCTGTATATTGTTTTAGAAAACACATCAAACACTTGTTTTGTTCTTGGTATCATGTTTCCAGAGTGAAATGAAACATCTTTCCGAACCTCATTGGAACAAAACGACATAAACACAACATGTTTAGGTTAGTTAGTTAGTTAGTAAAATATTTATTAAAGTCTCACACTGTAAACAATATACATACTAAAATAGCAATAATTAACAGTCCCGCCGGCTTCGGCGTATGAGAGACTCAAGAAAGCAATGTAAAAATATATCAAAAGTATGCTCAGATGTAAAAGTTTTAAATATCATATTCTCTTCTATTGCACATTATTTTATGTATAGTTTTTGCCAATGGTCTTTGTAAAATAGAATTGTTCATAATTGAGCAGTATTTAGCTAGACTAGATAATGTATTAAAGTCAGTTATTTCATTTTTGCAAAGTTCAATAAAATCCCTTCGTGCACAAGTATGAAGATCACAGTCAATGAGGATATGCATTTCATCTTCGACCCCTTGTTGACACATGCATAATCTTTCTTGAAGGGGAATACCTTGAAACCTGCCTGTTTCAACCTTCAGCGGTAAAGTTCCTGAGCGTAATCTTGCTAAGTTGCTGCGCTCGTGTTTATGCATGGAAATAGTTACATAGTGTTCTGGGTGTGAAGCATGGATTTTATGAAGCCGGTATACTCGTAGCTTATTACCATTTACAGGGTTACGGTTATCGTTCCACAATGCAGTATACCATGACTCGTGTTCTTTTGCAACGAGAATTTCTTTGAATTGTTTCAATTGTATTTTTATGTTTCTTGTTTCAAGATGAAAAAGATGTTCCGCTCCATAAGATTGCAGCATATTGAGGGTAGCTTCCTCCCATGAACTTCGCTTACGATAAGAGAATAGGTGGATTTTCTTCATCACTCTAGAATTGTCCATATTTTGTAGCCGACACCATGTACGTGCTATTTCGACTTTTAGCGTCGCTGATATGGGTGTCCAGGCCATGTCACCTTCCGTGGCTACATTAGGAGCATGCTGGCATACTCCTAAGAAAAACCGCCTTGCTTTATTGGTCACGACGGTGGCTGGCATTGTTGCGGATTTGGTAATTGCCCAGATAGCCGCAGCATACGTGATCACTGGTATTACAAGCGAGTTATACACATGCGTGTAGACTACGTAGCTAAAGCCACCCATGGCACGGGACTTTGTCATGATTGCACCTAGTGCTCTGGATCCTGACTGTGCTAAAATAGTTGCTGTCTTAGTCATGTCTAAATGTTCATTCAGTGTTAATCCAAGATATTTATAAGATTGTGCATAATCCAAATTGACAGGTCCACAATGAAATTGATGATTTGATCTTGGGGTTGATAATGGCCTATGATGAATGATTTTTGTCTTAAGTGCATTTACCGTCATGCGCCATTTGGTGCACCAAGTGTGTAGGGTATCTAGCATTCGTTGCAGGTTGTCCTCTGTGTCCGAAATCAGCGCTATGTCATCAGCATATAACAATATACCAACATTGGTGTCGCCAATCTGTATCCCGCATTCCAAGGCTGTTATCTCGCGTGCAAGATCGTTAATATAGAGGGCGAAAATCGAAGTAGACAACTTACAGCCCTGTTTTAGACCCGTGTCGACGCTAAACCACTCAGTCAGCGTGCCATTAATCCTCACTGCATATTGGACATCAACATATAGGGACTGTATAGCATGCAGTATGCGTCCTTTAACGCCTGATATCATGAGTTTGTAATACATGCATTGACGGTTGATAGTATCGAAGGCACGGCGCCCGTCGACGTACGCAACAAACGTTGATTGTCGAGCATTCTTGCGGTCCCTAATGATTGACGTCAGGGAGTAGATGTGATCAATACAGTTGCGGTCAGTTCTGAATCCGTTTTGAAGATCAGACAGTTTACCGTTCGCTTCAAGCCACTTTAACAGTCTCGTGTTGAGGATGGTGCAATATATTTTGCATGGTACCGAAATTAGGCAGATACCTCTGTAATTCGTAGGGATTTTCTGGTCACCAGATTTGTGGATGGGATTGATAATTCCTTTATTCCATGAACTTGGAACTCGACCAAGATTGAAGCTTGTGGTGATTATTTTGTAGAGTAAATCAATACACGTTCGGTTTTTTAGTGTCTCAGCTGGTATCCCGTCAAAACCTGCCGCTTTCCGTACTTTTGCAGCGTATACAGCTTTTGCTACCTCTCCATGCGTTATATCACGGTTAAGTTCTGGGTTAAGGTCATTTGGCTCATCAGAATTGGTAGAATCCATAAATGTTTTAATGTTATCAAGATGGTTTTGATCAAAATTCGGGTCATTGTTATCATTATACATTTTTTCAAAATCGTTTTTCCATGTATTTAACACTATTTTCTTGTCGTTTGTTGTATTTCCGTCTGGCATTGTAACTTCCATAGGTATTTTTGTAGTTCGATCATTTGACATTCCAATTTTCCCAAAGTCTTCCCAAAACGATCGTTGGTCATATTTGTTGCTAAAAAGTTCCAGTAAATGTTCTTGCTCTCGTAATTGATATCGTCTTTTATGCTTTCGTAACATTTTGTCGAACAGTTTACGTTCTTGGTTGTACTCGGTTTTTAGTTGTCGTGCGAATCGTGTTCCACGTTGTTTACATTTAAGCCATAACTTTTCTTTTTGTGATACAATGTTCCATTTTTCTTGAAGTTCATTGCACCAGTATGGTTTTACCATGTGTTTCGTTCTTTTACTCTGGTTTGTTTTTATCTTTGGGAGCTTATTGTCCATTTCAGTTTTGACGAGCATTTCAAATTCAATATACGCAGAATCTAAAGTTTCAGAATCTTGGAGTTTTTGTTCAATGACATTAATAGCCTCGTTCAACTTGGGCAGTATTTGTTCATTATCCATAAACGATTCGTCTATTTTACGTAGATTGTATCTGGTTGTTCTGGGCGTGATTAGTTGATCGGGTGTGACATTGGGGGAGGGGGAGTGGGAGTGGGAGGGGGCCGAGATGGCTTCATTACGTTGTAGCCGGCACTCGAGTATAGAGTGATCGGGCTTTACGTTTGGTGGGTACGTGGCTAATACTGGGTGTTCATCGAGAATATGAGCCATCGTACGTACACTGAAGTCACTCCATAGGTCAAGCTGCTCATGTGGGACGATTACGTAATCCACGACCGCTTTCCCTTTGTGTGAGATTGAAGTAAATTCACTGGGTCCGAATCGTCCGTTCAGCATACAAAGGTTAGCAGTGGTCAGAAAATCGCTTAGCTGGTCACCATAGCTGTTTTTTGTAAAATCAGTGACAAGACGCGTTCTGATGTTATCAACACCTTCAATATAATCCAATGTGTCGCCACAGCGGGAGTTCAAGTCTCCACATATACGGTCTCTACGGTTTAGGTCTCTTAATATTGTAATTGTACAAAGGAAATGTTGGTTGATTTCAAAAAGTATCTTGTTAATGAAATAAAAGGTTTATCTTGATTTTTATCTATTTTGGGGGGATTTGTTCAAATTTTTTGAAATTTTTTTTAATCAACCAATAATTCCTTTGTATAAGTATAATATTTTTTATTTTTTATTTATTTTTTTGCATATTAAAAAGTGATTACATGTCATACAATCTTACTTTAATGGCAGTATACAATTTAACTAAAAATCGCTTTGACCAAGCATCAACTTTTCTGTATTGAGAGAAAGGATGAATACCTGTCTCTATCATTCCTTAACATGACACCATCTAACCCATTCTTTGTGAAAATTGACTGAATATTAGAGAAAAATTTCCATGAGATTTCATTATTATTGTGATATAGATCAGATAAATCATTAAAGATGTCTTTGTGCAGACCTTGTGGCATATCGTACTTTAAATAGGCATAATAACCAATCTATCTTTTATCAATCAAGCTTAAAATGGGTTTCCACCCAAAATCACCTATCAGTGCTTCCCTTGCTGGGTTACACTTTAGTTGAAGGATGTCTATACCCATATTATATTGCATTGAGGAGAACGCTTTGGAAGACGACTCACTCAGAACAAACACTCCACATCACTGGTGATCCGCTCGATTACGCTGGTTACCGAAACGGTTCGTTTTGGTAACAAAATGTCGGAACGTCGAAGGTACGATTTTTCTTTTTTCCTTATTTCACGCGTTGTAGGCAGAATCCAAAACGACGTTTTTTCTCACAAATGTGTATCAGCATCATATATGTTTTAGAAAAAGTACATGTTTGAGAAAAATAGCTCAGAAGACAACAGAATCGTTGATTTAATTCCTCACTTAAGTTACATAAACGGTTTGGGTTAAAGTGCAGATCTTAACTGTTTTTCTAAATAATTGTCGCATTAAATTGTTGTCAATAAGTCAACATTACATAAAATACCGTGTTTTTTACAGAATGTTTTCAATGATTTTTCAATGGTTTAAGAGAAAACATTGTTGAATCCAGTTCTCCATATCGATACCACTCCTTTCTTGCAACTGATTTTCAAAATGATACACAGTTCCCTCCATAACTCGTATTTTTGCAAGGACTCGGATGGATGGATATTCTGTCGTAATCACACCAAACTAGACAGTAGTTCTTACCCGTTCTTGCCAGTCCTACGAAAACGTCGTAAAACGGGCTCAATCTGACTGTGGTCGGGAAATATGTCTAAAATAATTAGCTACTTCGTTCATAAACAGTCTTCAATACGTCCATCTCATTCGCAGTTCGTTCAGGGCGCACCACGTCGGTGTGCAACGTCGTATAAACGCGTCCCTTAGTCTAGAAGGTAATCATGACCTGATTACAGAACGGTATGGTCGCCATCTAGTTTTGAATCGATTCAAAATTCTAAATCACATTCCCCGTCCGGGAAAGTCCATGAAGTTCGCAAACAGACCGTAGAACGTTGTAGCTACGTTCATCCGTTCGCACAGAGTTTAAAATCAGTTTTGAAGAACGCAGTGGCAACTTGCTTGGTGTGATAGCTATATTTTTGCTAACTCGTTTTTAGATACGTTCTTAATCAGTTTTAACCCGTTTGCAATTAGTTCTACCTCGTTCTCAATACGTCCTCAGACAGTTCAACTCGTTGTAAAAACGTCCCTAGTAGGGTTGAAGTACGACGGTTCCGATCGTAGTACGTCCAGCTCGTCGTTAGCAGGTTAAGTTGTCACTCGTTCTAATTGTGGAAGGTGAACATTTGAGCATGTTCTAAGTTCTACAGGACCTACCCGTCCGAGTACGTTCGATGAAGTTTGTTTATAGACCCCAAACGGTTCTAAGTACGTCCAGTTCGTTCGTACACAGTTGAAGCACGTTTTCGAGAACGTAGTGAGAACTAGTTTGGTGTGATAGAAGGGTTACGTGGTAATGTCGATTTTCAAAATTTCATCAAATTATCATCAATTTTTGACTTATTGTAATTGAGGAAAAAAAATTGGAGGTATTAGAAATAAAGTCAAATTACGTTTTCATCAATAGTGTAAGTATTTTCATCGCAGGTTAAGTAAGTAAATATTCAAAGGTAAAGAGGCTTTAACACGTAGTTCAATGGTGGAGCTAAGGTTGCCAAACTTATGGAGGGGAGTGTATATCCATGGATCAGCTGTTTTGGCACTTAAACCCATCTTAATAGAAAGGCAAGGCTATTTTCTTGAGAAGTATTTCTTGAAATCCTCTAAATTCCTTGAGTGTGGCTTTAATGCAGAGAGATGTAGTATGGCAATTAAAAATAATTCAATGTTTTAAATGCTTAGTACAACTTGCACACAACATAAATATAGAAACTGTCATCCTGGTACTCATCACACTTTTCTGTTCTTCAATACATGTATGTTAATATTAAAAAAGAAACTAATAGAAAGCCATAGTGTCTCCTCATTAGGCTAAAAGACTGCACAGGGTCATCAATCATATGGCGAAAACGTTCAACGGTCTATTTTCAAACAATATCGTTCCAAAATTATATTAGAAATTCATATCACTGTTAAATTGACTGTGTTAACCAGAGGACAAAGGGAAGAATATATACTATTTATATAGGAGAGACTTGCATTACAAACCTTAGCAATCGATAGTCATTATCAATGTAAACCATGGAGAGATGTACATGTATCCCGAAACATCGCGCCAATTGCTTTGTCAATAACGATTCAAACAACACAAATATTATTCGACGATGGATTAGTTAGATAATTATATTTTGGCAAACAGAAGCGGAGCATGTCGAAATTGGTAAGTTGAATATGTACATAAAATATACTGAATAAGGCTAAACTTTAAGAAACTCGTTAGTCATAAAATTCGATTCAAGTATTTATCTCTCTGCAAAAAAATTAATATTATTTAAAATAGGTCAGTCCGATATTTAACAAAGAAGATTGTTTTAAGGTCCTACTGAATCACATTCTATTAATGAACCTTTTCATTCTGGACTAATGAACCTTTTCATTCTCAACATACATTGCTTGCACGGAGTATCATGTAACTGGTGGGACCCCCTCTAAAAACTTGACACCACTAACTTGACCAGGTGGAAATCTGTTTAACATTCAAATGAACAGAAATGACGTTATCTAAGTGAAGTCAGGATGATCTTTTGGAGTGTTAATTATGATATTTCGTTTTCATAGGGCGATAACGATGCATTGAAGTTTGATAAAAAATTGGCGAAACAGATTTCCGAACTTTCCGAGCAATTAGGTGCGATTTGTGTGAGAACAAATCGAGCGTTGCATTTTTATATCACCCATGCATTGTTATACTTTAATTTTCAGATGTGTATAGTGTATTTGGTCCAAGAAATCATTGTGATATACGGACAGGGTAAGATAACTTTTTCGTACATTTACTCGTTCTTTCCCTCCCTAAATTGTGGCTTCTCCAAACTGACATTTGTGACCAGCTCTGTATACCTCGAATGTAGAAGGTCGATACGGACAAAATAAAGCTCCTCATCGGTCAGTCCGTGCATGGACGCACAACTCCCTGGTCTATCTGTATGTGTCCATAAATTCGTCCGTCCTTCCGTAAGGCAATAGAGAGAGATTTAGCTCGTACGGAGACACACAACCTATTGATCCTTCCGCCGAGTGGGAAGACGAATAGATGGCATCACAAAAACAAAAATATAGTCCAGTTATTGTAATTACATTAGCATCACCAGTGGTTTGATTTTGGTAAGTACATGAATGAAAAAGTGTATGTATGGACCAACTCTAACACATGATTTGATGTGATTAAGGTGCATTTTCTTTAACAAATTTGACCTTTTTGACCTGCCTCCATCTGTCAAAAGCAGAATGACATTTTTTGACATTTTCTATAGATGGCGTCTTCAACAGGTGAGATCTTTTGATTTTCGTGGGGAATTTTGATTCAAACTTTTTTGACTGACAGAGGACATACTGGGGTATGATGGAATGATAGCAAAACATGTCCACAAATCTTAGTTTTCTCTGGAAGACAGATCGTTTGTATGGGAATACGAATGTTATAACAATTAGTTGAGTTAACCCTACATGAAAGCACAGCTTATGTTTATGCGTATAGCCATACTCTACGTTATATAAGTAAACGTGAATAGAAATTTGGGGTATCGCAAAAATATTATTTCTACAATCAATGCTAATATTCTTTTCAAGAACAAATAAATATAATGGTTATTTATAAACACTTTTAAAAGTGCGTTGCGAAATCTCTCTAAAAACTCACCGAAAGTCAAAAATCTGTGATTTTCTGTAGAAAAACATATAATAGACACAAAATGTATGTTCCAATAAAACAATTGTAAGTTAACTGTTTCAGCTCGAGAGTCAACCATAAATATCATAATGTTTACTTCAATGTCATCAATGAGAGCCCATCGTTCATCACCGGGCAACTAGAATAAGAAAATAACTTCGCAGAGCTTGTCAAATTGCGTCAAACATAACATTTCTGTGTTTGTGATAAAGAATTTTATTACAAATTCCCAGAAAGAATGATAAAAAATAATGGCAATTTTGAAAATATTTTGTCCAACACGATAACGCCATCATGAGTACTCAATGTCGACGCAGTTTCTATCGTTTCGTCCGTCCCGCATCATATTAGTTTGTGCGTTATCAAATTTTGAGTGTTTGCCTGAGTCTGGTCCACAACTCATATGAAAGGATGTGGTGTGAACTTGTTGTATATGTACCACTGCATATAAAATAACACAGGACTCCTTCAAGTAGGCGTTTTTGGCTCTATTTTCTAGTGTTAATACCTAAAATACGGAATTGGCTATACCAATGAACAGTCAAGCCAAGTAACTAAGTCAACATTCGAAAATAAAAATCTCAAAAATCGTCCATCTTTGATTTCCAAAATAATTTTTGAGGTGGTTTTTAAGATGATAATACATCTTTTAACGTATTAATTTTGAGTACATCTTGAATCCATTCTCAACAAAGCGTTGTCGAAATAAGGATTCGAAATATTTGAGTTCGGGATGATAAAAGTACGTTAAGATATACCGCTCCTTAACAAACTCCTTTGGGAACAAGATATAGAATCAAATGCAAATTCTTCTTATTTACTCCCTGACACATGGCAACGAATGTTACATCAGTTAATATCTCCGTTTTAAATAATTTTGTAAAACGTTGTTCTCTACAGGTGCCATTTTTACAATTGAAAAACAAAATTAAACATTTTGCATTTCTAAATTGATAAGTTTCTTGGAATACAACTTAACTGTTAACGATTTAAGTCATTAAGAATATTTCCCTCAGTGATCCCATGCTAAATAGACAGTAACTAGGTTATTATTTTGTGTTCGACCTTGTTTTCGTGACTTTTAAACATGAGTCGACAATTATGTAGGAAATTTCAATTCCAAATGTAAGCGTGTCAACTCCTGTTTTTGCACAGAATTTAGCCTTTTATAAAGATAGATCGCCAAAATCTGCATGTACCTCTCAATGAGGCGACACATTTTTAAATTTATAGATGCTAAGCTCTAAACTCAAACAAAAATTCAAACCACCCGCTATTATTTTGATTACATAAGACGAAATTTCCTCTCCCGGGGAGCACTGTGGTAACACTTTGAAGGAGGATTCTTGAAAAATCGTTCGAATTTTCACAAAAGGTTTCACGCAGTTTTATTGCTTTGTTTAAGCCTCGACTAAAATCATACTCAAATCCGATACCATAATTATAAATTAAAATAAACCATTAAACTCAGGTCAGGTTATATAATAAACCGTTTCGAGAATTGATTATTTGAGTTAACTGTGTATATTCAAATAAATGAAAGTCGGCATGTATTCGACAGTTAATGTAGACACATGATGTATGCATCCATGTGTGACTTAAATATCGATTCATGACTATCATATTTGGCTTTCAAAAATTAAGTTGGAAGTTACAGTGGTTGGAGATTAACGAAAATGTCAATCATATCCGAATATCCGAACGACGTCAAGTATTAGCAATATCCTTTTTGTGCATCTCGAACAAGGCAAGGTTCTGTGATCCAGCAATGTGCATTCCGAAAGAAATAATTCACAAATATCAACAAATTTCATTGAGTTGGATATTACATTCGAAATCACAACTTTCGAAATGTTTGTTTTAAACAAGAATTGTAAGAACTTAAAACATGTTGTTAGTTTTTTAAACCGCATATCCTCATTTACGTTCTTTGACAAGGATGAATTCATTTGAAAACATGGATTTTCTTGATTATTCTTCAAAACTACCCTTGAAATATGTGTGTGGGATATTACAGTGTAAATTGACACGCATTTGTGTCCTCCATATCATGAAAAAATAAATGCAGTACCATCTTTCAATATTTGAAAACAAAAAGTTCATTCTGTATGTAAACAAGAAAAAATACATTTATGGTTGATTCATAATGAAAAATGACAAATAACATACATGTTTTTAAGTAGGGGTATACAGGGACATAGTGGAAATTCAGAAATTTAGGCCATATCCCAAAGACTGCTTCACCAATATGTAACAGAACGTCAAATTTATCATTTACACGTTTGCTGATAGGTTTATTGAAAATTATTAAACAGAGGTTTACTTCAATTGTGGCACCATTCTTAGTTAAGATTGATGGACATACGAATATCGAATGTTGACTAAGTTACTTGGCTTGACCGTGAAAAGTACTGTTCACCGAAATATGGCGGAAACCAAAATACAATAGAAAAAACATATTGTGTGTAGCACCTATACTTGCATGTCATTTTAAATGTTAAAAATATACACAAAATGTTGATGTACTAGATGCTACTCAAAATAATCAAATTCTACACGAATACTTGCAAATATTGGCATTCATAGACTACCAGATACAAAGCGTAACAAACGAAAATAATTAAGGAAACTAAATAATAGGAATTTATATATACGGAGATATGAATAATCCATAGTTTATATTAACGGGTTGCATTATCTGAGTAGTGACAGCTGACATCGAAAAAACGATTGATTACGCATGTTCGTGTATTATCCTCATGTCCGATTACTACTTCTAAATATACACGTGGGTTATGTTATGGGAGGTTTTGGATTTGGATATGGGGTATATCCTAAGGGAATTATAGATATCATACATGTATTTCCCGAGGGAGATTCCCAATATTCAAAACCGAGCATTACATAACTAATTCATCTTATGGCTAATGAGGTTAAACACGTGATATCCGGGTTTGTTTTCTTAAAAGTGTTCTCATTCTCATTACTTTTTTAAAAATCCATCGATATTTAGGCCAAGAAAATTTGTATCGTCTGTTGCATTCATTTTGCTTTAGCATGATATTCGAGCAATACACTGGCAATACACTGGGAATATGTCAGCGGGGGATACACAGCGAGAGATATGTCCCGCTTCCCGAAAGATATACAGAGATTATCCTATATGAGGTTCGGGATATTGGGATTATCCCGAGGCTAATATCATATATATGCCTGAGGTCTCTCGAGAGGTACAAATACTTCCCTTGGGAAAAACCCTGTATCCAATACCTCCCAGTAGATAACGCTTATATATCACGCTGATAACTGAAACCTTAATTGTCATAGGACAAATGGGGCTTATGCACTGGGATGTTTTGGATACAGGAATTGTTCCGGGGCCCGAATAGACCAAGATAAGATATGTTGTATCCCAAAGGATATTTCCTGTATCAAAACCGACCGTGTATAAAAGTTGTATTCCATGCATGGTGAGATTTTGAAATAATAAGCATGTCTCTCATATGGTGATGATGTTTAACAGTAGACCTTGAACTAGAATGTATCCATTCTAAAACTTGGATGTCTTCTGTTTAGTTCCATGCTGAAATAGTTATGACGGGAATTTCCAGGGTGGGATGTAAGCCATTTTATCCCACTTGGACGTGTTACAGGTACATAAAGCCGGTTTGTAAAAACTTATATTTTCATCAGCGGGCAGATATAGCTTTACGTTCCACTCCAGTGGGCAGATATAATATATCTACCCGCTACGTCATAATCGCCGCTCGCATATTTGTTCATAATTTGTAACGTTCGCGTAATGACTGTAAACGACAATGGGGAAAAAACAGACAATCGGGATCTGTTTGGTGGTTTAAAAAAGGGAAGGAGCATCCACTTAATCAATCAAAAATTCGAGAAAATAAATGTGGGAATATTTGAGAGAACAGGAAAATCCACCCGGTGTGAAAGAAATGATGGTCCCCGAGTGATTATGGTCCCCTTTCTTAACGGCCGTTACTGGCCCTGATTGTGTATAAGATAATGAGGGAAAGAGTTGTATTTAGGTCACCATATAAATCAATGGAGAGTAGGACCATAATTTCGCCTTCTTAATGACACCTTATCTTTCAAATAGGGGAATACAAGTACGGGTAAACAATAGTTTATCCAAATGGTCAAAAGATCGGGAACAGCGTAATGCCAATTTTGATCCTAGCCATAATGGTAGTCATAATTTTACCATAAATGCGGGTGTGCCGCAGGGGTCTGTTTTGGGACCCCTATTATTTCTAATTTATATTAACGACTTACCCGACAATCTCAACTCAAAAACTTTTATTTATGCTGACGACACTTCACTGTATGATGCGTATGATAAAAATGAAGTCTTTTTGAACATTAATCAGCCATTACAAGATGACCTTGACACTTTTCACCAATGGTCATTACTATGGAGAATGAAATTTAAAGCTCAAAAGAGTGCTCACATAACTTTCTCGGGACAACGCACCCAGAATATTAACCAATCTCCCCTAACTTTGGGAGGTGCATAAACATCTTGGACTAGTCCTGGATTGTAAACTTAATTTCAATGCCCATATAGATCAATTAATTGGTAAAATAACCTCCCTAATTAGACCCTTGAAAGCTCTCTGTAAATATTTACCAGGTAAGCACCTTGAAAAAATCTATAATGCCTATTTTTTACCACACTTTGACTACTGTGACATAATCTATAATAAAGCCTCCTTAGCAAAACTACAAGCTCTCGACAGACTGCATTACAGAGCAGCATGACTGTTGTCTGGTGCTATCCATGGGTCAAGTACCGACAAAGTACTTTCCTCTATTAATTGGAAAACCCTCTCCTCGAGAAGAGATGAACATTTAAAAATTTTCTTATTCAAAGCTCGCTTCAACTGTTTCCCATCCTTTATTTGTGACCTAGTTCGTACATATGAAATCACTCATACCAGAGACCTCAGATTCCAGCATGACTATAGAATTCCGAACCATTTCACTGTTTGAGTTCATCTTGTGGTAAATCCACTATTTTTAATTCCATGAAGGTTTGGAATAAACTGCCAGCAGCTATTAGAGTTGGTCAACCCATTTCAAGGTTTAAAAGGTCAGTGAGAGAATACACGAGCCTTGTCTCTGTATCAACTACTAAAATGACTAGGTGCATACCAAGGCAAATATAAATCAAATTTAATAGACTAAGAGCTGGTCTACTTTTGAACAGTCACTTTTATTCTCATAATTTCCTGTCGGTAACAGATCCCAAATGTCAATGTGGTGAAAAATTCCAAACCACTGAACACTTTTTAATCAAGTGTCCACTGCTACTTAATGAACGTGAAGTTCTTCTTGCAGGACTATCAGACTTGGACTGCTAACGAGATTTTGAACCATACTCAATTCAAAGGAAAACACATTTTCTATTAAATGGAGATGAACATTTGGACTTTGAAACAAATGAAAAACTGATTGAAATCACTACTCACTATACTTTTCAAGCTATACAAAGTCTGGGACAGGGTTATTTTTAACAGTTGAGCTTGATACCACAACTTGGTACTGGGGAACAAGCAAACCAAACAACAACAACAACAAAAAAAGAAAAAGCTTCTCTGAACATTTTGTGTATTTCTGAATATCAAATTTTTCTTTATCAAAATTGTTTCAATTGCCGATAATGTTGTCCTGTCAACAATGGCAATTTGTAAAAATGTAACCGATTGATTTTTAGAAATAAATATGAAGTATGTATTAAAAAACAAAAAAAAACATAATTTGATAGGACCTCCTACCCTTTTACACCTGGGCCAAGAAAACAAAACTGTACATGAATATTCTAAAATATTTACACGATTGAACAATGTGAACCAGATGACCAAGATCGGTATGGGATAAACATATTATCCTATAGTCGGGCCTCGGGAAGATATATTATATTTGCCTCGGGATAATCCCAATATCCTGAACCTCATATAGGATAATCTATATGTATATTCCGTAGAACGGCTTGAGCGGGATATATAATTTATATATAATGGATCCTCGTTCAACGACATATGTCTCTGAAACATCATCATGTATAGAATACTTACCTGTTTCTACACGACACGTTTTGTTGGTCGAATACCGAGGTATGGATTCATGGGTTCAACACCCACTGTGACTGAGGCTGAGGTGGACTGGGTGATCAACCCTCAGTTGTTCACATTTCACATCTTGATTATATTGGATGACTTCATTGTTGTAAGCCAAAGTTGTTTGTACCTATCATTCTACACGGTAACAGTAAGATAGCAGTCACACTTAGTTTTGTATTATTTTTCAGAAAAATGTCCAAGTCAACAGGTTCCACCTAGAGATGGCCTTATTTGGAGAGAAAGCACTGGGTATAAATCTGCTTACGAGTTATTGGGATACACAGTGGACAGAGATTATCAATATGCTATTGTATCTTTTAGTGACGCCACGGAATCTGTAACCGTAAATAACATACACCATTATTTTTCAAATATCAGTTGTAATTAAATGATTAGTTTGCCTGTTTGTATACTGCATTTGATAAGTTCTGATAAAAGTGCGATTTGTGTATTGTTCTGTTTTCCATTGCGTAACATTTCAAACATTTTAGTAATTTCACATTATGAAATAACAGTTGCCTATTAAAGCTGTAGTTCCTGTAGCCTAAATGCTTGCCCGTAGCCAGCTTTTACCAGGAGGGGGAGCTTTTTTCCAGGGGGGGGGGGGCTTTTTCTCAATTTGGGCTAAAAATCATGCGAAAAATTCTCAGAATGGTGAAAAACTGTATGATTTTGAAAGAATTTCTGGCCTGGGGGGGGGGAGCTTCTGCTCCACCAGCTCCCCCTCTGGCTACGGGCATGAAATGTCATACTAGATTGACAGAGATGACGATATGGATGTACGAAATGGTTGTCTTGGAATAGTATACCGTATCCCGGGTTTTGAATATACCGAAGACACAGTTTTCTTGCTGTGCTGCACTTCAGCAGCAGCATGTGTGATGATCTTTGAGAAAAACACCTTACTGATTCTTCAATCCATTTTAGATGTATAGTGACGACGAGATCCTCAGATGCAATGCGGGCAACGATTACTTAATAAAGTATAGACACTGGCCAAACTACTATAAGACTGGAATGAATCTAGATACTAACATCCAGCCTATAACCCTCTTGGAGAGCACACAGACGACCTTGGTTGTCACCTTAACGTTCTTTTGTAACCGTCATCAAAACCCCATAACAGATTGCACAACCGTCAGTAAGATGATAATCAATTTATATTTAGATGAAAATTAGCTTGGATTCAACTAATAAATACAGCATCTCTTTAATACCTATATGAACCTCAGTTGATAATAAATTCAAACAAAGCTAGGCAATGTGTGTCCAATTCCAGCCAATCAGAATACGTTATTTCATATTACTGCATTGCATTATATAACCAACAACCAATTCAAGGTTATTTTAGATTATAGTGAACCGATCTATAAACTGATCATTTTATAGTTGAGCAAATATCTATAAGTAGTATCATGGGGATTAACAAACCATGTGTTTATTCAAGTCAAAATAAAGATTTTGAATAATTTAAATTTAAAAGGTTAACCGGAAGTCATATCATTATTTCGATATCAGATTCGGAATCCAAAACAAATGTCCTGAATCGATAGACATGTTTTTGTGGACTTATTTTTGGGACACTATATCTCAAAATTCGAGTAATCAAAAATGGACGGCACACTATTAAAAGGTCTCTTTCTGAGCTACACGATGAAAAAATCAAGAAAAATAGTAAACCATAACAAAGATAATTGACAAATTATTAATTTTACCTCGATTTTGACTTTTGACCTAGATACAAAATTGACCTAATGTTTGAATAAGCCAGTCACATACCCTCACTGACGATTAGATAGATTTACCTAACGTGAAAAGAATAATAATAAGATTTTAGGCAAAACCAATCGACTCGATTTTCAATCTGGAGTCTGAATAATGGGTATGTTTTTATCCTTTTATTTCTGCGTTCGAGGCCGTGTCCTATGCATAGGCTTACATTTAATTGTTCCATAATAATCTCAGAATCGAATCCATGATTATTTCTTGAAATGTTCAATGTGATAATAGAATAATTATTACGTACTAGTAAATCATACAGCTGTTATAAAAACGAATTAGCGAAAATATGAACTCAAACATATAAAAAATCAAGAAATATTTTGATTCCAGATAGTTTTCTGGCATCTCAATTGCCCACGACTTACGAAACAACCCGATTCAGTGAAACTACGACTCCAGAAACAACAACAGTCATTGAAACTACGACTCCAGAAACAACAACAGTCAGTGAAACTACGACTCAAAAAACCAGCGCTCCTATCACGCCAACCACGACACCTGCTCCCACAACAGCAACAACAACTGTAACAACTGTTGCCACAACAACAATTCCTGACACAGGTAATCAATCAGATCGTTATTAATGATTATTGCTGCCTACTTAGTATTTATTCCAGTTATAAATATCTGCAAAATCCAGAAATGGGGTATAATTTCTCCTTATACACTTAATACATATTTGCGTAATACGTAATACGTAATATATATTTGCAGGATGTCCGTTCGCTCTGCAGAAGACCACCTCTGCCAATCGTTATGGGGGATCCCATGTGGCAAATGCTACAACAGAAGAAGCATGCAAGCTGTACTGTCTCATTACACCCTCTTGCGAGGTACTTCCAGTCACAATATATCATATTAAAGGGTCTCCAAGCTAGAAACACAACCAACCTTCTTTTCCAATGAAAAACTGAGCAACGACATGCATTTTTTCCCAATATTGTGAATAACACAATTGTACTTCCAGGCTGTCGACTTTAATATACAGCGGAATATGTGTTACCAACACGCAACAAATGGAACTGCCTCCAGCAACGCCTGTTGCAACCACTACGCCAAGACAAGCTGTCTCTGTAAGTTTCTAAAATCCACAGAGAAATCATACAAGAAAAAAATGTTAAACGAATCATTGTTATCAGAAAAAACATCTAATATAATTATTTAATCTGTTTTGGTGTTAGTTCATGAGTTTTTCGTGAAAGCCCATGGCAAGATTGTTCTAGCTTTAGACCTCAAGAAAGTTTTAGTCCACTCATATTGTAAAAGAACAAATGTAATTATTGTAGCTACCAATACTGTTGCTCCAACCACCACAAACGCTACCACAACATCTATGTCCACTGTTACAGCTACGACATCTGCAACACCTGCCACCACTCGAGAAATAACAAAAGTCATTGAAACTACGACTCAAGAGATAACCACACTAGGCGAAACTACAACTCCAGAAACAACAACAGCAGTCATTGACCCTTCGAATTTAGAAACAGCAACACTCAGTGGCATTGGGAGTTCGGAAACAACAGTCGGCGATTCTATGACTTCAGAAACAGAATTAATGATTGATTCTTCGACTTTTGAAACAACAACAGTCAGTGCCACTACGAGTTTAGAAGCAACAGTCGATGATTGGACGACATTAGAAGCAACTTCGAAAACAGTCGGTGATTCTACGACATTAGAAACAAAAACTTTCAGTGATTTTATGACTTCTGAAACAGTCGATAATTCTACAATTGCAGAAACAGCAACATTTAGTACTTCTACGACTTCCGAATTAATATATAGTGATACTACGACACCCAGAATGACCATCGGTGATTCTATAACTCCTGAAAACTCCATCGGTGATTCTTTGACTACTGAAACACAATTATTTAATACTACTACTCCGACATTAGCTGTAAAAACAAATGCAGATCTCGATAAGATCCCTGCCATATTATTCAATCAAGAAGAAATCAAATCGGCTGAATCATTTGACATTATCCCAGAGGAAGCAGCTGGCGCTGTTTATATTGGGTCTGCATGGATGTTCGTCTTGATTGGATGTTTCTTAGCCATAGTTTTACTAGATATAGGAATTCTCACTAGAGATATAAGACGAGGTCTCACAAATATCAAGTCGTGTGTGTGTTACCTATATGAAACAAGATGATATACATTTTTACTCATATTTATAACCAGAAAAATAACATGATTTCAGTGTACGGATTCGCTGGTGTCGCGTACGGTTTCAGTTCATAAAATATTATAAACGTCCCCCTTAGCTTACTGGTCCGCACCCTTTACTGCACAGCTGTGACTTTGGTGGAAAAAGAGGTTTGGGAATGTTGAATTAACATGTAAAAAATTCTAAAAACTCAAAGACGACCAAATAAAACTACACCTACTGATTTTTGAATAAAATGGTAGTTTTTTTCAATTTATTTATATTTCCTTGATATTAATATACATACAAATGTATGCCTTTGTTAACTGAATAACATTAGCGGCAAAGTAAAAATTAAAAATATAATACAGGAATTTACACAATTAAAAAACCACGTAGTATATTCATGTATGCTTGTATGCTTGTAAGTATGCTTGCTCCCCTTCCCACCCATAAGGTTCCGAAAGGATTTTAGAATGTTTCACTGGCTGGTCAATACTGAAATTGCTGTTGAGACATAGTGAGCCACGATTTCAATAATTTTGCCATTCATCACATCACTAAGGTTGCTGAAATAAAATGGTAGTTTTCGTAGTGTACATTTATTTCCTAGTGTACTACTCGACGAAAATACTCTGCGCGTTTCCATCACCTGATTAGTTCCTTTCTGTCAAACGGGTCGAGTGATGAATTGAAGGTGAAAAGATTAAACATGGAATCTTCAGCATTTGTTTATAAAAGTGTTGTATTGTATTGAGTTGTATTAGATTGTATTGTATTGTATTGTATTGTATTGTATTGTGTTGTATTGCATTGTATTGCATTGCAGTGTAATTTGATTGTAAATAAATTGTATTCAAATAATATCCCTATCAAGAGTTTGAAAATATGTTTTGTTTCATGCTGTAATCTTGCTGTTTTTTGTTGTAATGTTGTAGTGTACAGGATAAGAATTTGTCTTGCTAAAACAAGTCAATCAAGTACAATTGTTAATTCAGCAATCACTGTTAATAATATAATTTATAAACCTTTTCCCGTAGTCCTTTCATTCAATGTAATTGACAACATGCATACAGTATTTCCGTTTCACCTTCTCGATCTGCCGGGCTTTTGGGCGTCTTAGGGTCGACGGGTTGATCGTCTCAAAATTGTCTTTTGTAGTTTGACTATTATCAGGTTTTGGCCTTAACTCTTTCGGAATATTGCTAGTCCTCTCTGGAGTGGTTGCCAAATCTCACCTTCCTTGGAATATTATAAGATTGAGGCGGACTGTGAAATGCTACATCTCAAGATAACCAAAATGTGCCACACATTGTATCGAAAACGGAATGTGTAGATACACATTAATTTTACATAAAAGTGACATCATGTGGCTATATAGTCCTCTGATACTTGTTTATATCTGCGTAATGACAAGCCAGGCAGCATACAACCAAAACAGTAAAGAATGCCTAGGTCACATAGGCGCCGGGCGCCGGCCAATGAGTAGTCATCGGCCGATTTCTAAATCGACCGGGTGTCGGTGACTTTTCCCCGATGTCTCGATTTCGCCATGAGTATGGTCACATTAGAACAGACACCGTACGGCGCCCGCAAACAACTAAAACTATAGGACATCGCACGAGTATCGCAAGGCTATCTCCCGATGACCATACGGCACCCGCCAGAACATCGGTCGGTCTAGAGCTAGGACACCAGAGAGCCTCTACAGCTATACATATATTCAAAAAAAAGTTTCTTTCATTTCAGTTTCCAAAATCAATCATTCTGCATTGACTAAAGACATGTCTTTGTGAGCTTTACATACAGGTATACACATTCTATAATATTATGATACGCCGAACCATTTCAGAGGTTAAAGGTGAAATAATTTGGAATAACAAATCAAATCTAATGAATGATAAGGAGGTGATAATATATCATGGAAAGGGGAGTCATTTATATTGATGGGGAGCATACGATTGTTCAACAGTTTGCAATAATGTATTTAACAGAGCTCAAAGATATTTTGCTGGAGTTCATAAATTTGTACCACTTGATGCATTGCATGGTGATTTTGCTTGGACTCCCTTAGAAATTGAAAAAGATCTGGAGATTATTCGAACCTTTAATAGAATAATAATGATGCCAGATAATAGAATTACCAAACAAATATTTAAATGGGATAAAACTGTAAATAGTAAATGGAGTCAAGAGCTCCAAAATTTTTTAAATAGATGTGATTGTCAAGATAATTTTGAGAATTTAGAGTATTGTTATATAGAAAAAGTCAAAAAGAAACTACTGCTTACATATGAAACAACTTGGAATGATTTAGTACACAAGAAACCAAAATTAAGAACGTATGTCAAATTCAAAACCTCATACAAAACTGATCGAGTCATATTTATTGCTAAATTTATCTAAGTTGGAACGATCTTTAATTGCACAATTACGTATGGGAATTTTACCACTGGAAATTGAAACAGGCAGATTTAGAAATGAAAAATTGGAAAATAGAAAATGTACTTTATGTAAATCTGGCAACATTGAGGATGAGGAACATTTTATTTTTAATTGTACATTTTATAAGGAAATAAGGAAAACATATTTACAAAATCACCAAATTTTTGAAGAAACAGAATCAACTACGGATCAAAAGTTTCAGTATTTATTTGAAAAAATGCCTAGGCAAGCTGCTCATTTTGTTAAACTTTGTTATTTTAAAAGAAGAAATGCCATTTATAATAATAATATAATATGTAAATTGAATTTTACTGCATGTATGTGTCTAAGAAATTCATGCTAGTATTTTTAAAACTGTTTGTTATGAATCTAATTGTAATTTTTAACATTAGTGGTTGATAAGCCCAAGTGGGCTGGGTTGCTTTTTATTACTTTTCTTTTGTATTGTACTGTATTGCATTGTATTGAACCTACCATTGTAAATAACAATAAAACTAAACTAAACTAAACTAGACCTCTTTAGCAAGAATGGATTTTTTAAAACTACAATGAGTTTAAGACTAAGTATAATATTGATATCAACTTTCTTGAGTATTTTTTTTATTTATTCACAATTGGGATGAGACGCAATTTGAAAAAGTATGTTCTTATATGTACCGGAACTTAAAAGTATGACTGTTGCAAATGTCTGATTGAATGGAGGTGGTGTGAAAAATATCTGAATTGTTTTTTTAATATTGTACCTGTCATGTTTGAATAAAGAAATAAAAAACAAAATAATTTTTTGGTGGATTTCAATGTTCAGTTGAAAGTTAATATTTAAAAAACGACATAGGCCTATGACGTCATGTACTGTAGACAGCTGCTTTTAAAACCGTTTTTTTAAATTGACTTGTATGTATGTATCATTGAAAAAGTCCATACATTGTATGTACAGTATATTGGCAGACCCGCGAGACTCTATTGATACCCGTAGTTGATTAGCAGCCCTAGTTTGTTTAACCCGTGCAGCTATACGTCATACTGCCATAATTTTTGGTGTCTTTCCCAGTCGCCCGCCTCTTGACTCATCCTTGAAATGCATGTGAATTGTTGTTCAGCTTTAATGGCCCATAAGATGTCTGTTTGGGCCTCCGCATGTTGGGGCGACACCTTTTCACATAATCTCCGACCATTTCAATAGAACTGAGTTCATGACCCTTGAAGTAAGTATGATCTCTTGTATTTAATGAGTGGCCAGTTGCTGTATTACATCAAAATTGTAACGGTGGCAGCATGACCCCAAAGGCATATCAACCTTTTTAAACATTAACTTTCAAGTCCCCATTTATATTCACGAAAAATGCTGCCATTTTTGAACAAATATGAGACAAAATGATGAATTATGAATTAACGTCACTCAAACTATGAACGCCTAAAATATTTATAGATTAAGAGAAGTTCCTTAAATATTTTTTTATGTCGGAATTTAACTCCTGATTTCAAATATGTAATTGGTTTTTGAAAATACTGAAAATTAAAAAAGTTATTAAAGAAAAAGTGACCCTTGAAAACTTCTGTCAGGGCTACTACATATATTTATTATCCAACTGAACGAAGTTCGTCGGGATATTGAGAAGCCGCCTGTCCGTTTGTTCGTCCATCCGTGTGTCTGGGCCATAACTCAAATACTGGTTGATGGATTTGGTTAACATTTTATAGGCTTCTGCCTTATGGGTAAAGGACCTCTGCTCAAGAAAGAATTTTTATCTTAATATGGCCACTCAATTCAAAATGGCTTAATTTTTCGGAAAAGATTGACACCTTATTGCTATCCCTCATCTTGCCGTCTTGTTCCCAGAATTCCCAGCGGTCGGCCAGCTTTATTTCTGACGGAAAGTGAGCAAAGATACCCCTTGAGCCTGGATCTCATTCATGAGCAGAGGTTTCTCTTGCGAAGTGACTACTGCCCAAGCAGTAGTTACTCAAGAGCCTGGACCCCTTCTGATAGACAGTGTTAGTGCGATTACTCCTGAGACGAGGCGACTCCTTGAGAATCCAGAGCGAAGAATTGTTCATAAACCCTGACAATTGTATAGACGTCCAAATTTTATATGATTTCTAGATGATCGAGTTTTGTTGCAAATTCCATTCGTCGTTTTTCTACTCTTCGTTGTTTTCAAAATGTACAATATAAATGTCAAGAAAGGACGGTCTCTTTATAAGTTTGTTACCATTCTCTAAATCATATGTTCTTCTATCATGCCATCTTGCAATTCTGCGCAGAGGGGTGCATATCACTCCTGCTAAGGCTACGGTTGACCCGGCAACGTAAAATGATATGGTGTAATTTCCAGTAACATCAAATAAAAATCCTGAAATTTAAATCAAAATGTATTGATAAAATTCCACTGCCGAACAATATTCTAAATGTAGGCTAGGGTATTTAATGTAGGTATGGCGGCTGGAAGCTTAAAGGTCTCGAGCGAGCCACCTACCAGAAAATGTTTTCTCCTTTTGTGGGGGTATGATCGGCATTTAAAAATGAGATAACTTTGGTATCGATTTTTATGATTATATATCTTTAGTAAAATTGGTTTTCTTTATTGAGGTTGAATTAAAATTGATACAAGAATTCCTATCAAGAGATGTTTTTATACAGAACTGGTTTCTTTTTGAAGGTCAAATCCTAAATCTAAATCTGGACTTTTGAACGAAAATCGGGAAGGTTATCATTTAAATCGGGAGTTTTTACCGAAAATCGGAATGTCTCGTTAACAAATCGGCAGTTATGAACACAAAATCGGGATATTTTACAAAAAATGGTGATAAAAATCTGGATTTTGAAAAAAAATCTGGATGAGCAATACTTTCTCCCGATTTAAACCGGGATTTGACAGTTGAGCTAAAGTCAAATATTATGTCCTGGATGGGGTATTGAAAGATTAAATTTTAAGCAAGTTGTGATTCATGACCTTGAAAAATAGTGAGATTTGACAGTTTTTCTAAAATGGAAAACCCTCTAAAAATTAGAGCCCTTCCTAGGATGTGGCTATATAAAGAGACACAGAGAAACATACCGGCTATTGGTGCTCCAATAAAAGATGATAGGCCCTGACAAAGCGTGACCAAGCCAAATGAATTGGTCAATCTCTCGCGGCCAATCAATTCAACCATTATGACGGAACGTAACGAAACAAACACAGCTGAAAAAGGAAAATGTTTTGGATATATGAAAAAACATCAATTTGTGTTTTTTCTGAAATGATTTCAAAACACCTTTCCTCTTCATGAATTGTATTAGAATTGAGAGTGTAATATAATGTATATTAATACAACAGGAAAATTTACATTAAAATTATAATTTTATTAGATATCTTACCGATTCCAAGCCCAAATACGACTGAGTATGTTGCTAGCAGCCCATAATGGAGGAAAAATGGTAGAACTATTGTGATACTTCCACCACAGACCAAGGCAATGTTGTTGATAACGAGACAGTCTGCCCATGGCTGATCCGACACCCAACCACACATGACGCGACCAATAGTGTTGGCTATTCCTAATATAGAGATGAGGAACGCCGCCTGTTCTTTACTGACACCCATAGCTTGGGCGTAATCCGGAAGATAAATGAATGGCACAAAGAAACCTGCAAAACAACGTTTATTATTAGTAAAGAATAAAGGTAATATTGCCAAAATCATAAAAGTATGAATAGCGTCTAGAGTCTATCACTTATAATCTTAGAACTTGAAGTCTTAAGATTAAAACCTTGATACCGAGATGTCATTCTCAAAAATATCCCTTGAATTTGGGGAATAGGCCTTTCAAATAAATCCTGGCACCTTTTGGTACATCAAGGAAGCTATGATATATGTATGTTAATGTAGATGCTAAATATTAATTCATTCAGAGTATTTATGAGAGAAATAGTCAATTTTGAATCTAAATAAGAGGATCCCAAAAAGGGCATGTTATAAGATGAGATGGCCTATGATATTTGATTTAATGCGACTTTAGATAAATGAATTAATATGCTGTTATGGACAACACATTCAGCGGTTGTACACTACATTTCGACTCCCAACCTCCCAGGCCCTTGTTACGGGGCCTGGGAGTTTATTGCTAATATGCCCTTTGGAATACTTATAAGAGGCATAAATCAAGAATAACAAAATGTCTCTCAATTATAATAATAATGCCCCATGGTCATCCTTTGAAACTGGAAAAGGTGATAAGGTGATTGCCAGATAAAGGAATCCTTCATAAATGAAATCAAGTTCAAATTGTCAATTATATGAATTGATAAGCATCATATGTATATATTATATGGTCTATGTTCCCAGATTGGAATGGCTGCTAATAAAGCAGTTGTCATCTTCATGACAGGCGATAAACAGATTACAGAGATTTACCAAGAAAACCATGTCTCTACGTATAAATCACAACATCCTTGCAAAATAGAACATATTGAGGGCTCACCTGTCATACAAAGGAAACAACTCAGTCCATACAGCACAAAAACAGGATTTTTCATCAGTGAGAAATCAAATATTGCTTTGAATATATCAATGGTTGATCCAAAAATATTTCCACACTTGGTCCTATCGTTTCGTCCTTCACTTGGAACATTTGTAATACTTTTTTGGTATGCCTTTGGATCTTCCTTTAATGCCTGTAAATGAATTATCACTGCGTGAAATATGGGATTCCAACTCTTGACACGTCTAGAAACTGGTCTTTACACGCCGGGTTTCTAGACGTGCCAATTATTTACACCTCTTGACACAAGTACGCGATGAATTCAACTCTTTACACCTCTTTGCACTTCTTGGCACACGCAGTGCAAAGACGTGTAAAGACCATGTCAAAAAGTCTTTACACGCCCTGTGACAATTAATGGAATCTCTTGACACGCTCTTGGCACACTGAACAACATAATTATGTGTAAACAACTAACCTAATTACCAATAGCAATACATACAGTATTTTAACGATTGCAAGTATTTTCTCTGATACTTTTAATTGATATATTTTTTAACCATTCTTTCGCAGACTGTTTGGAACAAGTACATGTAGCAAATATTAAACAGACTATTTTGTATGTACGCTGACACATTGACTTATTTAAACATTTTGGCAATTTCATGCCGCCTTTTGAAAATATAAATCAGTTACAGGCAATGCTAATCGACGCATTGATCCTAAGTGAAGGAAATACATATCATGATAAGAAAAAGAAAGGCGTTTCAAGGATAAAACGTGCAATAAACTTTGAAAACACTGATACATCAGGCCTATTTATATATTTATTTTGTATTAGCTTAATATAAAGATAACCTTACTTTTCGATGAGTATTTGGATTTCGGAGTAATTTGTTTCAAGTTAAGTCAATACAAATTATCGCCGACTTAACTTGTGACCATACATATGATAAATGAGGGGCATTTTAATACACAATTGGGCAAAACAAGCATATTCAATCGAATGTACCATTCTCTCTGCTGTTCTTTCCCAGCCTATCCATAAACAGACAGGTACAAGTTCCCATAGTTTTCGCAACATCTAATTCTATGATCAATTGCTAGACACAGCAAATATACTAATTAATTGTCTGATTGTGATTCGGGAACGTAGGGTTTTTACATAAACAGGATACTTGGCTGTACATAGCCTGAGAACACTGGATTGACCCCCCCAATCGACGCCTAGGCGCTGCTTATGTTTTAATAAGAAACATTCCCTTGTAAAGAATTATCGGGATATGAATTGATACAAGGTCAAGTATTCTGCCCCTTTTGTGTGATAAAAATATGTATTTAATTGGTGCTTTAACTTTTTGAACAAAGAAATGAAATAATCGCACTGAATGTCTCAACATAAATCAGTGATGTTTAATTAATAAATGACACTATTATGTCAGTCTACGCACTTATTGGACATGGACGGGGGGGGGGGGTGAGTTACCCATTCTAAAATGGTTAAATTTTGTATTAAAGAGTAATCAATAGGTCGTGAACTCCGATTGATAACCAACTGTAGCATACTGCTTAATTTGTTTGACTATTGATATTAAAAAGGAGTGAATTTATGATATTGATAGAGGTACATTGTATTGGTATTAATATAATAATGATATTGGGGACCATAAACCACTTTGTTTCGCAAGTAGCTTTAGGATCGCGGTTTTATCTTCACATGTTGCCCTTTGTGCAATTCGAAAATGAAATATTTAAATCTATAATTTATATATCATTTGCAAAATAAATGTAATTAAGAGACATGGGGGAGGGGGGGGGGGTTAACGGCCAGAATTTGGAATGAATTTAGGAATATCAAGGATTGATTCACTAAATGTTGTTCACTGGAGTCGATACACACACCTGCATAACAATCGGAGACAAAACTGACTTAATCTGATATGATAACAAAAGATTAATAACTTAGTCTATGTTTTTGTTTTTATAATTGCGGAAGTGTACCAAAACCACCTTGATTACAGAAGATATCGTCTAGGCTTTAGATTTAATGAATAGATTTTTTTGCCCTAGTCTCATTTAATAAAACAGGCTATTTGCGTATTTAATTAATATTTGTGACAAAATATTTCAGTTAGACTCAAAATCAAAACGAATTTCTCCATTATAGCCCCCCTTGCAACTGTCCCGAGTCTGCATCTGTTTTTCATGCTTCCGATCCACCTTTGGGATAGAGAGAATAGATGTAGATTTTTAATTTGGGGGGGGGGGGGTGGCATTAAATGTGTTCTCATACAAACTAAACTAAACCCCAAAAAGCCATATCAAATGTCCAAACACAAGACCAATGCCATGTCAAACATCCAAATATAGAACCAATGCCATACCCCCGGGTACCAAATATCCAGAATATAAGACCAAGGCCATTCGAAATATCGAATGCCCCGAGAAAAAGGCAGATCTTTGAGTAAAATGATCATAAAACAACCTCAAATGAAGGATATGTGTAACAACTAGACCAATGCCCCGGGACCAATGCCGTGCCACAATTGAGGGGTAACATATTTTCCACACCGATTCTTATACCTGAATATCTGTCTTAAAATGTGGGTCCATTATATTGGCTTGACATACCAAATGTAAAAAACGTACCCCACCTGAGCCGAGTGTGAACCCCCGGGGTGAATGGTGAACACACGGGGCAAGGAATTCTTCGATTTTGATTCAAGTAATTTTTTTATAAAATTCATACTCATGTTAATAGCGGACGCCTTGGCCAAATAATCTTTCAAATCATGCACTTTCCAAGTGATTTTGTAGCAAAATTGTGATAATATATGAACCCCTTGGAATTATTCAAAGACGGACCCCCGCCAGCCCATCCCCCATTCTTACCTATGCTAAACACTAAGATAAACATATAGAATGGTATCTTACACTTTTTTCTAAATGTTGATATCCAAAAAACATATCTTTTTGGTTTATCAACACATACCGCTCACAATATAACAAGTATACAGATTGTAACATAGATAAGCGAATTGGGGAAAATTACAATCCCTTTGATCAAATTATTATAAGATTTAATCTCCAGCTGAGGTGCAATCAAAATGTTGATACACATAATTAGCAGTCAGAAAGATGCTCTTACCACTGTAGTTTTCAATATTCCCTTTGTTGTAACATCTTATTTCAAAAGAATGGATATTGATGGTTGTATGGAAGTATTCATATCAAACATTCACATTATAGTTTACAGTGGAATTCCCTCCATAAATGCAACATATTTACCATTTAAGATTTCATATTGGACTTTCCGCATAATGATAAAATGTTGACGATATAGTTTTCGATAAAACCCCAGGGCCGTAGCCAGCTTTCAGTCGGGGGGAGGGGTGATGCAATCACCAAAATATTTTAGGTTTTCAGTCGGGGGGTGCGATCGTGACATAAATGAGGCAAAAATATTTGTTTTGAATTTTTACGAAAATGATGCAACTTCCTTCAAACCTGAGCTAGAAGCTTCAAACAAAAAATCAATTTAATGCTATTTTCTTCCTCTACCTTACGGTACCTTTTATTGCTTGTAGGAGGGGGTGCGAACCCACCGCTTCTCCTCGTTACGCTTATAGACCCAATAACGTATTCCCAAGGAATCGACTTTATTAATTTATATGTGAAAAATGAGCTTGCATGTACAAATTGCATCGTATGCAAACCTTCCCCTGACCGACCCGGTCATGTTTATGTCTTTTGAATGATGTCTACCCCTTGATGCATGTATCCTTTAATAAGTGGTGTTAAGAATATTGGTGTAGGCCCTGGTGAAGGGATATGTCATAAAGATTTCACGTTATCCCGATATACATGTAGCCGCGTCCCCTTTGTCTTTATCCTTCCAAACGCAAACGGCAGATAAGAGGGGTTCTTAGTGATTGATCTGATGCTTAATAAGCCACTTACAAGATACAGTTTTAAATATTGATATTGTGTAAAGTTTTAACACATAGGCGTAACCAGGGGGGGGGGGGGGGGGGGTGCGATTCTTGAATGATCGCACCCCCCCCCCCTGCTTAACCAATAGAGAAGGAAGAAGCTAAGAAAGGAGCTTTGAATGGCTTTCATTTGAAACTTCTAGTTCAATTTTGAAGGAATTTGCAATGTCTGGTTCACATTTGCTCAAATTCATCCTCCGGCCTCCGGCCGATTGAGTATTTTGTTTAGAATTGTTTTCATGTTTGAAAAAACACTCAATCGGCCGGCCCCCGCCCAATGAATCGGAGCAAATATGACCCAGGCATATGAGGGGCAACATTTTAGATATAGTATTGTTTGAAATCCTGGGAAAATGCACTCCCCCAATTTTGCAAATCTGGTCTGCGGTGCTAATGAAGCCTCTAATTTGTTTTCGTTTACATGAGCAACTAACAGATATGTTTATTCTCATTCTGTCTCAGCTTGATTTTAATTAAATTTTACGTCGAACTTCGAACGTCTTTGTCTCTCTCATTTTTGCAACCCTACATTCAGTTTCTTTTTAAACCAAATCAAGAAATATCCGTCCACATATCAGATATTAAACCAATAGTTGTTCATTATAAGAACAACCATATATTATATTTATAGATCATAAGCTATTTTTAATTTCAGCTATAAAATTAGTCCTCTCTCCCCTCCTCTACAGGTATCTCTAGATACGCAGAGTTTCTAGACCGGCTAAGCACGTCTAAAAATTACTAGAAATTCCACAATTTATACAGTGATATGGATTTCATGTTTCTATTGAATCCCTTATTTTGAAGTCTAGCTGAATAATAGAGTTTGATTTTAAACGTTTTCGGGGATCCGGGCAGAACTCAGGATATAGTACTTGAGTACATTTGCATTCAAAATAATTCAAAATTCAAAATTGCAAATATCATGGAAGTTGATTGCAATTATGTTCGATGATCGTCAACATGAAAGAACAATATGTCTGAATAATTAGCTATCTCAAATCTTCCCAGCCCTTGATTTTTGAGATCTTTCATCCCAGCTCATATTTCATCTAATTGGGGTCATAAAACTTGTGTAACTGTGCCTGTTGCATCCTCGCTGGAAGGGTATTTTACAAGTATAAATGAAGTCCTTTGAAGAAGGATGTGCCTGTTGTTAAATACATGTACAATGCCTTACTACATTATGTAATGTATTGACATTAAGGTAGATGATTACATGATAACAATCACACTTATTGACATTCATAACTCTTCCCATCTGATATGCTCAGATCACAGAATATGCCTCATTATATCAGAGCATGTTTCAGGCGTTTCAGACCCATAGCCAGGATTTGCCAAGGGGTGGGTTACTTTTTTAAGAAATTCCAGGGGGAGTTTACTTTTGGCAATGTTCGTTCAAAAATGAGCAAAATAATTTAAAAGATGCTCAGTATGGGGTAAAAAATGCAATTTTGGTCACGGAGGGGGGGGGGGGGGTCGCTAGAACCAATCTATCCCCCCTGTATTCGGGCCTGCATGTGCTATCTACATATTTGACAATTTGATTGACACGGTTCAAAGTGGACTTTGTTAATTATTCAAACTGTTTTAATATCTAGGAATATGCGTCCAAGTTAAAATCACTCGAAATCAGGGTAGATAAACCTAAGAAAAACACATTTCTTGTTTTCATTTGATCTTTAACATGATCCTGTAAAAATGTCAGATTTAGCAAAATACATAGGCGATCTCCATCTGCACACATCTACTCATTTCGACTAAGCTATTGCCTATACTTACACGCACACGCATACTTTTAAATTAATTTTATTTTGATAATGATTTAAAAAACACAAATTATTATTTACACGAAATTAAAATGATTGTTATATTCCAATCCTAGTAAAGTATAATTAAGCGCGACTATAGGGCATAACAACATATGGCCGGTCTAATTATACTGTTTGTTTTGATAAGGCTGTGCAAAGAGATATCAAAACTCTTGACACGCTCTTTACACGCGAGGTCTTTGCACCTCTTGACATGTCTTGGAATCTCTAGATACGCGGAGTTCCTAGACTATCTTTGCACGTCTAGAAATTGCTTGGAATTTCACATTTGACGCAGTGTATACTACTGATATAGAAAATATTCTTTGTGTACATAGATTTATTACTTATATGTTTTTTATTGGATTTTTAGCTTCCCGTTTATGATAAGTAGTTCAAAAATGCAGTCAGTCCTTTTACTAAAACCTTTTTTGGTCAATTTTTGTCTTTATGTTACCATAGAGTTTACTTTATTGTGATGAAAATGGATGATTATTAATTACAATTATTTTCGTTTCATCAGAGCCGGTTTGATATGGAAACCAGAAGTGAAATATGAGGTATGAGGTTCCATATCCATCCGCCAAAAGGAATATAGTCCATTTAAAACCTGTAGTATTGTTCTAAATAACACCATTGTTGGCTTCTAGGGTACCTAGTATGCCACTATTTGGAATCAAAATAAAGAGGAGGAGTTCAACTCTCATTTGAATTACGAAAATAGCGATGTAGGTCAAAATAGTTCCGACGTGAGCATGTTTACTACGCGTTTGTCCGTCATCTCAGAATCTCAGAGGATATGGTAGCAAACGCGAGTTACAATAAATGGACGCTGATATCTATTTTTTCGTTCTGCGTAGGCCAAACAATGATTTAAAATCACTTCCAACCCTTCTGTGAGTATAAGAATGGTCATAAGAGGCCCCTGAAGGGTCATGAATGAAAAAGAGCCCTCTGAAATTCCGTCAAATTGCAGGTTATTTCTTCATTTTTTGCTAAAAATACATGATTTTGAGGGCCCATATCTCACTGAAATTGCTACAATGTAGCGATTTTTCATTTTCACAGTCTAGATACACGTGTCAGGTCAACAGAAACAGTGAGCATGTGTGATTTTTAAATTCCTACATTGTAGCAATATTTATTTCAAAATACAGCTGTGGGGGAAACTTCTATTTACTTAGATTTGGGCGAAAATGGCCAAATTTCAGTCAAAATCCTCGGGACATAGGGCCTTTGTCGTAGATTTAGTCAATGAAGCAACTCTTAGTAGAAGGTGTGCCATTAGTTTGTTTGATTTCCACCCTCATTTCCCTGTTTTACCACAAGATCTGCCGCGTCTCCTCCAAACTCACCGTGTCGAGTTGAGGTTTTTTCCTCCTAGGAGGATTTTCAAGAGGGCGGAATAATGCTCCTACTACTACTCCATTCAACACAATTCCCGATATGATCCACGTAGCACCTTTCCAAGTATACGTGTCGATAAGAAACCGACACAAAGGGGCAAATACAAATGCTCCGATACCACTGCCACATACAGCGATTCCAGTTGCCAGAGCACGTCTTTTCTCAAAATAGAACCCAACCATCACAATTGCTGGCAAGTACATCAGTCCGAATCCAGCACCTGATAATTAAAATAAGTTTAATAAAATCTGATTTAAATGTATATGTACTGGAACAAATTACAGATATATGAACATCATTTTGCATATAGTTTATGTGTTTGAAATTACAGATTCTGTGTGAAGCAAAAACATATTATTTTTCTAATAACTTTGCATGTGAAAATTTTGACATATTTCTCAGTTGCACATTGCGTTGAACGACATCTGGCGTTTAAAATATGATTCATATAATGACTTAAATGCAGAATCAGGAAGTAACAAAATTGCAAGCAACATATAGTTAGAGTATCCATGTATTTCTTACGATCCCAAATAAAACCTCAAAAGATCCATGATATGTTATTAAGGATTAAAAATGCAAAAATGGGAGAAAACATTTAAATTCTCCGAGATAATGAATGTGCTAACCATATTTATGCAAATATTAATGTGCTTATTGTAAAAATCGTTAGTTTTCCTCAAATAAAGTATACACTTTGGGGATTTTTAGAAAATAAAAGAGCAAGCAGGGCTCATTGACATATATTCTAGTATATCGAAGTAAATTCTACCTCCGAGGCCACCGTAGAGAACAATTAATGCGTCAACATTCGGTGAAAAGGTGCTAGCAAAGAACGATGCTGCTGCCAACAGGCTACCTGCTATTGAAACTGCCCTACATCCAAATTTTTTAACTAAGCCTCCTGCTACCGGACCTATAAATAAGCAATATATGTTTTCAAAGATGGATTAAATACGGCAAAAACTGTTTAATCGATATAAAATTAAAATGAAATGAAGAAATTATGGAATTCTGAAATCTTAAATAGAGTCATTAAATCTCGTTTTTAAATAAAAATATAAGTAAGAACGAAGAACAACTTAATTTATAGTACTCACTCACAGGTAAATATGTACCATTCAATGTGGTTACCATCAGTATGTGAATTGTACTCACTAACATATAATACCATTCGATGCACCGACGTAGCTACCACTAATATGTTAATTGTACATACTCACTCACAGCTAAATATATACCATTCAATGTGGTTACCATCAATATGTGAATTGTATGTACTCACTAACATATAATACCATTCAATTCACCGACGTAGCTACCACTAATATGTTAATTGTACATACTCACCCACAGCTGAATATATACCATTCAATGTGGTTACCATCAATATGTGAATTGTATGTACTCACTAACATATAATACCATTCAATGCACCGACGTAGCTACCACTAATATTTTAATTGTACATACTCACCCACAGCTGAATAAATACCATTCAATGTAGCTGCCACCAATATGTAAGTTGCACTCACCCATAGTAAGATACATGCCATTCAGTGTTGACCCAACCCATGCAGTCTTTCCTTTGCTTTCTCTGTAATTATCCAGGAATTCAAGGTAGAATATCCCTGCTGAGAAACATACCCCATCAATTAAGAAGTTCGTGATGAATGACGAGAATACAATTACCCAGCCCCACCCACCATCAGGAGGAACTAATGGACTAATAACGTCATCTGTAGCTTTTTTATCATCATCATCGCTGCATTGACTCTTGTTCTGCATACTTTCCTAAATAAAAGGAAAGATACATTGACGTATACGTTGTTGTCGATCATATAAAACGATTCCTGTAACCCTACTTTCACACGAAACAAGTTCTCAATACATTGTCGAAAAATCTGTGTACGAACAGATTGTGGACGTACTGACAAACACTACAAGTTAAGACGAGTTCAAATCTTGACTATGATTATTTTTAAGTGGACGTACTCAAACTTAGAGCATGCTTACAATTTTTTGGTGATCGTCACATTCTGCAATGAGACTGGCCAGTATCATGCAAAGGTAACGGCCGTAACCTTCGCATCTAAGATGGCGGATGGTAATTGTCAATTTCGATATTTTTCGTTTTCATCGAATTAATCAACTTTATAGTTTACGTTATGCTTTGATATTTGAACCAAATCAGGCTTATATGTCTTGGAAACTATGGAGTATAATAATTTGTTTATATCATGCGTGGGTGGCCAGTTCAATGATATCGTCAACCGCTTAAGGGAAGGTAACTGGAAATTTATGATACGGCAACGGTTATGTACATTTTAATACACGTTAACTGGATACCTTAGCTCTCAATTAAACTCTCCTAACGACCGCATGTATCCGTTATCTTGTCGTCTGTAAAACCCAAATCCCAGTTACCTTCCCTTAAACAGTGGAAGATATCGTTGAACTGTGGTGCCTACCAATGTTATATGAACAAATGATACTCCACAGTTTCCATGTCATATGTACCTGGTATAGTTCAAATATAATAGCGTTACGTCAACTATAAAAAAATAGTTGTCGAAATCGAAACTTACCGTCCGCCATCTTTGATGCGAAGGTTATTGCCGTTATCTTCGCTTGATACTGACCAGTGAATGAGAACGAATGTCAACGTTCTTTAAAGATGCGCTTTAACTGCTTCGATCAGAACTTTCGTACTACAACCCTACTGGGGACATATTGGGAAAGAGGTTGAATAGATTGCAAAAGGTTTAAACTGATCAATGTAATTGAACTGTTTAGTTACATTCTGTAGACCGAAAAGATATTGCTTATGGACGAGTTTGCAAGATGTGGTGTGTCGTTTAAAGTATAACACATGTTAAGGGTTTCTTTATTTGTTATATGATTCCTGAAAATGCTTAAATGAGCCAGGCCACATGAAAAGGGGTCTTGTCACAGATTTTTTCAATATTCTGATTTTTTGTTTATCTTAAAAAGCACAAAGAAACCTTTCAAATGAGCCATGGCTTATGTCTTAACCATTTCCTTGCATATATAGACCAAAAAGTCGGATCTGAATTTAGCACATTTTTCTCTTAATCGTGGGCATATTTTTGGCTCTGTGTAGCATAATTTTAATTTTTGTGATAAGACCGGTTTTCCTATGGCCAGGCTCAAATATCATCATGACTCATCATGTTGATTGTTTATTTATCCAACATTAATGTGGGTCGTTGATTTGGTGTGTCCTTTCTTTGATTGACAACTGCAATGTTTAGGTACATCCAGTATGAAATGTATTTCATTCATGCTGTACCTTCATTTCACACACTTTATTTTTAAAACTCAAATGTTACTCACACGTAAACAAAAAAGCAAACTGATTAGGGCAAGGGCATTGCACTTCTTTTTTTTATAACATAGCAGGGATTCATCAAGGCGCCATGTGAAAAAGTGTTCGTTTAAGCAAATCAACCATCCCATTGAAAACTCCATCCTTTAGAATTGCAAGTTGTGAAAATCCAATCTTCAAAATCAATGATTTTATTTATCATAGGGCCAGCAAACACCATGTAGGCGTATAATATAGCAAATATTAAAAACATTTGCATCTGTTTTACGGAGGTTTTTGATTAATTATCACCGGGTTTGATAAAGAAAAAATTATATTTTCGATTGGTTACTTCAAATAAGACCGAGACCTTATATGCGTCTATTATTTTTAAAAGCAAACAGGAAAACATAGGACAGAAATAAAATTTTAGGACGACTAGAAATGTATTAAACTCGATAATATTTTGATACCATATTTGTCTCAGACTTAACAATTGACATAATAGTAGTATTCGCTAAGTATTTCATATCATTTGCCGTTTACCATTCGATCACAGTAATGAGCCATTAACTTAATTTCGCAATAAAACTGTTCCGATTAAATATCGCTCTGTCACCGTTTTAAACACAATATCTAAACTATATGAAAGAATTATTCAAAAACAACTTCTTATCCATCTCATTGAAAAGAATATTCTCTTTATAAAACCAGCCAGGGTTAAATCAGGTCACAGTACTGATCTTCAACTATATAATTATTGAGCATCACACATAGGCCAAACTGCCCTAATTCACGTCACCATACTAGTCAATGGGCAAAAGGGCAAACGCCTGACTTTTTATCTCGAGTTATGGATTTATGTGTTCTCACTGGCCTATCTGAGGTTCTAAACCTATGTCTAAGCTACATTTTGACACTAAACTCAACAGGGGCCAAACATCTACTTTTTAAAATAATTGGTCAATTGTGACACTACCCCCTCTCTCTGCCGACAGTAATTGAAATTCACAAAAATGAAGGCAAAATTAATACGCCACTTGATTCGAAATTTTCCTTCAGATAACTCAAGTGAACGCATTTTCAGAAGAAATGGCATGTTGTCATTGCAAAAAGATGACAACTGTGCCTACATACTAGCTTACTGACTCGTCATGATCACAATTGTGTTGGGACTACATTCATTTTTGAAAACTACTTTTTTCTATTCAGCGGAAGTGACGTATTAGGACATTTGGGCCATCTTATCATTGCAGCAAGTCTGCGCAACTCTTCTAGCCATAGAATCTACGTTTGATAAAGTTCCCCACTCACTGCTTTTACACAAAATCGAAGCACACGGAATTGAACACAATTTTTTTTAAACTTTTTACTTCATATCTCTATGGTAGAAGGGTCAAGGCAAACTTCAACTCAGAGCTTTCACCTTCGCTACAAACAGCCTTAATAAATTGCGGGGTGCCATGAGGATCAATTTTAGGACCAATTTTCTTCTTGCTTACATTAATGACCTTCCCGATGAAATAGAATCTCAATAATTCATTTATGCAGATGATACATCTTTTCATGTTAGTGTTACACCTAATACAGGTGTACACAATTCTCTTTTTTAAAATACAAAATGATAACTTCAATAAAATGTTTGACTAGTCAAAAGTATGGAAAAATCAATTTAGGGTTCTACACTTTTCCTAGATCCATTTGAGCGTGTCAATAGTCACAAACACCCGGTTGTAATCATAGAGGCACATTTGAAAATTGAAGAGCACATCAATAACATTGTAAATAAAGAAAGTAAAATGCTCAATCCATTAAGTTTTCTGGAAGTTTAATTAGCATCTAAACATTTAGAACGAATGCACATTTCTTATATTTTGCCTAATCTAATTTTTTACTGTCTTAAAATTTCAACTTGATTAAATATATACTTTGAGTGTCTATTAAATGGATTTTGGACGGACCTTCAATACCTTATTGTAGGCCTAATGATTCACGACCTAAGACCCGATCTTAGGTGTCCATACTATGGGTTGCTATTACAACCGTGACTCTGACAAAAAGTAATATTTTGTGGACATAATAAGAAATGTCTAATAATACTTTGTACCAAGTTACTGTGAGAATTGCAAAGACTACTTTCCTTGAATTTATTATCGATGATAAACTAAAATGGAATGATCATATCGCTCATGTATTTTCCAAAATATCACAAGTAGTTGGAATTCTTTACAAGGTTGAAAATAATTTGGGGTAAATATAACCTTTCCCAACTTTTTCAAATGACAAGATAGGCCTCTACTGATAAAACACAAGTAACATTTAACATTTGTGTAATATTCCTTTAGTTCAATACAATGAAATTGTAACATATATCGTTTAATTTTAAAACCTTTTAAAAAATTCCCGGGAGTGGGATGGAGATATTATATCATCCCGCATTTGGCCTGAAGCGGAACATATGTAACTACAGGGTGGGCCAAAAAAATTTGCAACTTTTTTAAAAGGCTTGAAAAGGATCATAACATTAAGGTATTGACATAAAAATTCATATACAGAAACTTTAGGATAGGCATATTTTACCATTCAAATATTTAAGCTAATACTGACTTCAATTGTTTTCAACAGATCTTTGAATATCAGTGGTAAATTGTTCATGTGTCCAAGATTTACCATTTTTCCTAGAAAATGTGAATTTCTATGATTTTATGTGATTAACAATAACACATTCATTATGTTCTCTAAATCTGCTACAATCTTTTAATTGTTTAACCAATGGCTAGTACAGTTTTATATTAGTATCTACTATGGTATTATTTTATACTGTATCTATTAAATATTTATTTAAAACATGTTCCATGCATCCGCCTTTTAGCTTCACTATTACACAGACACAAGGGCGTAACTGCAATGGCGCCATCCAGCGATTCTTGTGGTACTTCTTTCCACTTCTCCTAACCTCTTTTAGTTCATCAATAGTGTGTGGGGATTACCATTAACTGCAATAAACTGCTCCAGGTGCCTCCATGTGTGATAGTCACAGGGGTTGGCATTTGGTGTATTGGGCAGCCATTTATAAGGACTAATAAATCTAGAGGTATCATCCTCCAGGTATTCCAAAGTGACCCTTGCCTGATGGTTGGAAGCGATAGTGAAGGTGAAAGGTGGATGTAAGAACATGTGATTAATAAATAATTAATAGATACAGTATAACATAATACCATTGTGAGTAGATGCCGATATAAACTGTCCTAGTATATTGAATAAACAGTTATCAGAGATTGTAGAAGATTTAGTAAACATAATGGATGTGTTATTATTGTTGATCACATAAAATCATAAAAAGTCACATTTTCTTGGAAAAACAGTAAATCTCGGACACATGAACAATTTACCATCGATATTCAAAGATCTGTCAAAGAAATTAGAAGTCAGTATTATCTTTGATATTTGAATCGTAAAATATGCC